TCTCCACTGGAGGAACTACAACATTAGACTGGGCACTTCCAGCATGGTGTTCACGGTGTGTGTCATACCTCGGATCACAATCAGGCATGTTACATCTCCTGCCATGTCCATAGTTTTGGCATGCTACAGAGGAGGGGCTAGAAGGTGGTGTAACCATTCTGTTATTTGTCTTGGATCTGAAATTGTGAGGTGGTGTAGCAAATCCACCTCATCCACATGCTTACCTGGATCATTTTCTTGGTGTAAACTCGTATTAAAAGAGTCTGATGGACTTGAGTTCAACCACATTCAAGCATGCTGCGATTGAAATGTGGTGGGAGCATGAGAAACTCCACGTACTTTGCTGTGGCACTATCCTTGTAGTGCATTAATGGTTGTTCAGTGGATAAAAGGGGTCTTGTAGCTAGTTTTTCTGCAACTTCCATCATCTCCCTATAGCGTAGGAAGATAGCATTCCTGATTGTTTGACTGCAGCTCTAATAGAAACACTTAACAGAAGTTTGTCTGGCTTTCTAGTTCCAAAAAAATGGCCCATTTTTTCTGCCATATAATAAACACTTTCAATATATAAAAAATAATATCAAAAGAAATATTGAAATATTTTTATAATGTTTGAGTGTGGGCAAGTCTTGCATACTCTATTTCTTCTCAAACTATTCATTATTATCCAGCTCTCTTGCAATTTTCATGCTCATGAGAGATACCTCCTCCACTTCCATGTTGGTAATGCTCTTTAGGACTGAAATCCATTTTAATGAATATTATTCCATAAAATAATTATACTTAAATTAATCTAATATGTATATAGAAAGTTTCTGGTTTGCTTAAGCAAACTGGTAGTGAATATATCTAGAATATACTTGGATATTCTGGGAAATTCTACCATCTAACAGTTACTATTCATTTAAATTAATCTTTACTTTAAAATTTATAAACATGTTTATAACTATAAAATTCTATTTGATTAATTGGATTAATAAATAATACTAAACACTACTATTAAGAAAATAAAGTGTTGCTGCATGCAACGCACAGCAAAACATTTGCATGATGAAGCAAACTGATATTTAAGAATCTTAATCAAATATATAGATATTTATTAATATTAATTAAAATAATTATTTAAGAATAATAATTTAAAATGTTGATTTTTTAACAGTATTATTAAAATTGTTAATATTTATCAATATCCTTAATTGCAATTGTGAATCAATGTTGTTCAAAATTTCATGACACTCCTTTGCAAGAGACCCCAACATGTTTTTTAAATTTTTCTTTGATCTACTTTCACTTGCTCCGAGGGTTTGGAAAACTATTTTTATGAAAATCCCTCATTAATGTTTCTTCTAGACGGTTGTTCTTTTTAATCTCTAAGAAATATCTCAACCAAGTACTAGTTCTATTTACTCAAGATAGCTAAATATTGATATCCCTTATTCTTATTATGAATCTGTCATGTTTGTTTTCTATCATCAATTTGATATTTTGAATTCTTTTATATTTAATTATCAATACTTAGTTCTCCAAGAATTGAAGCTTCACTTGAAGAAATACTACATCTTCATCAGGAGGTTGATCATATACCTCAAATTGGTCTGACCTGCTAACATGCACATCAAACTCTGACTTGAGGTGGCCAAATTAAGAAAACCTTAAACCCTAAGAGGTTTGGGGATGGAGGCGGTGGTGCGGGCTGCGCTCTCGTTTCACACCGACAAGGGAAGGGACGACTCGAGCCGTAAGCTAACGGCCGCGGAACAGGCCCAGGTATGTATACCTCCACCAACCTACGAGGACGAGAGTGTCTTCCCCGGAAATTCCAAAAGCATCCACACGGATTTTGCGTCGGACAATGTCGCCTCCTGGACGCTGGGAGCCTGGGATGGCTTCCTGGACGAGGTGCGAGACTTCTCGCAGCAGCTGCCAAGAACGGGCTCTTTCTACTCCAAGCCCGACACCACCGTGGAGCCGATCTCGGACGCATCGGGTTTGGCTATGGACCTCCAGGACGGCTTGCATCGCCTGGGACGGAACATCAGTGCTTTCTCTGCTCAAAGCGTGGTGGGTTGGCCGGATATCTGCGTGGAATGGCGAGACAAAGATGATGCTCCGGCGCTCCTCGTGGGTATTGTGGAGCTCGACACTTTGCCAGCGTTTCCACCGTCACGTATCCGGGAGGACTTGGTCTCGTCACCGACATCACAGTTTTGGCCAGTATTGAACCGGCTGAGGGAGATGTTGGCTCTGTCGGGAGGCCTGCGTTATGGCTTCGTGACGACGAGGACAAAGTACTGGTTTTGCTATGGTGACGAGACCGTGCTGGCCCTGTCACCACCGGTGGATGTCGAGAGCGTCACCTTGGCTTGCTTCTGGTACCTCATGGCTCTTTCCGAAGGGAAGGAAGCGAAACCTCCACCGATGAAAACTGTGTGGAACGTAGGCCGCACTACTGATTTCACAGGCATGCAAGACGCGATGAAGGGCATGGTGAAAGATTTAGCCACGACGCTACTGGCAGATGGCAGCAGCAGCGGGGGCCAAGTCCACGAGAAACTCGAGTTTTGGTCGAGTCGAGAGTTTGAGCTGGGCCGCAGGCTTTACAAGTTCAACTGTGACATACTCTATGCCAAGCTGCGCAATGGTGGCGACGAAGTGGTGCTTAAGATCCGGGACCTCGGGAGCCATCGGAGCTGCTTGAGGGACGAGCTGGAAAGGTTTGTCAAGGAGGTTTTGGCGTACAAGAAACTCCGGAGAATCCAGGGGCGTGCCATACCACAGCTGAGGAGCTACGGGTTTATGAGTGGTGGCATGTTTGCTGTGCTTGTGCTGAGCTATGGTGGCCAGCGTCGCGATTTCCATGCTCTCGACGCTGCATCGTCTGGACGATATGGAGAAGAAGCTGCTCGAACCCTGCATATGATCCATCACCGAGGGCTTGTTCACGGCGATCTTGACACGAGCTCGGTGGTGGTGAGAAGTGAGGAGCCTCTGCGGGTGACTATTGTTGGACTTTCTCGAGCCCAGCCTGCTGCGACGGCCAAGGAATTTTCTCGAGAAATGGTAAGGATCAAGGCAGGTTGTGGAATGACAATCAAGGAAGCCCGGAAAGTAAGGCTTCACTATAGCGATGATGATGACACTGGAGATGACACCACGCCAAGTGGTTGAAGGAAGATTCTTAGAACTAATTTGCAGGCTTTTAGAGCAAGAAAGTTGTGAGTGACAAGTCAACAGGCTAGCAGAATGAAATAGCTGTTTTATAATAATAGTTACTGAATATAAATTACCACAGAAAAAGCATATTAACGTTGTCTAAACTATGATACTATATCAAACTATAAAAATATTATACTTTAACATTCAACTATATTTGTAAACTATATATTGCACATCTTTTATTTACACATGCATAATATATATATATAATGCACACAATCACATTTTGATTACTAGCAATCAAAATGTGATTGTGTGCATTATAATATTTGCATGGGACACGTCATATGCATAGTAGCATACCACCTGCAAAAACACTTCATGCCACATATGTGGCAATGTTGTCTCCTCTTTCAGGATCACACACTCCAGCTTATCTAGTGCCCCCATATAATGCCACAATCTCTATCAATCAACTAATAACTTTATCCAACACTTGCTGCTGCTGTGGGATTCTATAAATCAAACCCTCATTCTTGGAGAACTTGAGCACTATGTCACAATATGTGTGACATTTGTGATTCTTTCATGTTTTAAAGAGATTGGCTAGATTCTAGATTGACACCTAGATGCATGTAACTATTGAAGATCGAAGGTGAGTGCTCAGTGTGTCAAATCAAGCATTCCAAGATATTGCCGAATTAAATGGCAAACAGCTTGCATGTGGAGGCTCATGACTGGTGCTCCTTTAGTGGGATCTATGATGCTTGTTTCCAATCTGGTCAAATCTTGCAACACAATCTTACTAAACATAAAACATGAAGAAGTAAACTGATTGGCCATGCTAAGATATTTATATATATATATGAGTCATATCTATGTTTTTTTTCTAGGCTCCACCCTAAGTACACTTCCCTGGACAACATGACATAACTTCAAATTTAATTAGTGGTTTTCCATCTCAAACAATATAGTTTTTTATGGCATTTTTCAGGTCACCTATCTTAATATTATTCAAACCCAAACATGTTTAACTCTATATATCTTAAGATCCTTAATTAATTAGAACAACATTATCCTTTCTCTTTACACTTAAAATTCATCAAGATAATAGGGTTTACATGCATTTATTTTTATATCGCTTTTTCAGTATTTCTTTCCCTTTTTAAACACAGCTGGATGGTAGTACTTGCTTATATATAGCCTCAAGATTTTGCAACACTTTTGATTGGATACACTCCTTTCCAACTTATGATTTTTAAATGCCAATGGAATCTACACCAATTGATCCACACAATCACAATCTACACCAATTGATCCACACAATCACATATTTTGATAATTATGTTTGCTCTTTTCCATAGCATCCATCCAATCACACTAAACACTAAAACATTAAATCTTGTTGATGTGTCAAAAACTTGAGTGGCATGTTAATTGGCTGACGCAATGTGGCAAACTTGGGCATGTAATATTTTGCAGTAATTGATGCCTATCCTATACCCATCAAGATAAAGTCCAAGCCACATGTGCTCTAGTGGCGGTTCTGAGTGTGAAGTGACATAGTTGTTAGAGTGGTTGTCGGTGTGAAGTGACATTAGAATGGTTATCGATTGTGACTTCGAATTGACTCCAAATTGCTTGTGCCTATTGAGAAAAAAAAATTGGCAGCAAGGTGTGAACCAGTTGCCACAAATGTGTTGCCATAAGCACCACCTGCATCACCTCCCACAGAAACTCAAGCTCCCCAGCCTGACACCCGAGAACAGCTCGGGCTAGTTCTTTCACAATGCATGACACAGTCTGCCTCCATGCTTCCATTGGAAGTTTTCTGGACTCCTAGCATTTTTAAGCATTTTTATTGTAAAATTTCTTTATTCTGGATCACATCACACAGACACAGAACACATTAGTTAGAACACATTATTAGAATGCCAAGAGCAACACACACTCAGGCAAACATTCAGTCCCCAGCACACGCTTTCCTCAAGGTTTTGTGTTTTTTTCATCTTTCCTAGCTGCAGCAAAAGCAAAGCAAAAGAGTGAGAAACAAATACAAGATAGGAAAGAAAAGTTCTAGTGCCTGGGTAGCCAGCAAATTTGCACACGTCCAGCCCGGTGCAAGCGACGAGTGCAGCCCGCAGCGCCTGAACATCGTAGTTGGGGATGTACTTTTCGCAGTCGCAAACCGCAGAGCCCAGAAGGATGAGCTGCACGCAGCAGCTGTTAGCCGGGTTGGGGAGCAAATTCCCGCAAGACGTGCAGGTCTTGTAGCTCACGGCCTTCGACAGAGAGTTGGAGCTCGCCGTCGCCACCATGTAAACCAGAAACACCACCATTGCCACCGACTTGCAGCTCATCGTTGGTTCAAAACTCTGGAATTTCTTTAGAAAGAAAGAAAAGAGAAACCAAGAGGGAGTGTGTGCTGGGTGGTGTGAGGGGAGAGAGAGCTATATATCCCCGCAAGGAATGCCTCTCCACCACCCACACAGTATCCCCAGGCACGGACACTCCGAACGAAATTACTTACCAGATGCAAACAAATGCTGGACAAGGAGGGACCGCCTCACGCTTTGTCCTCCTCCGTCTTCTGTGCGTCCAAAATCGCTGCCAGCGAGGGTGGCGGCCGGTAGACAATGCTTCTCTTCCACTTGGCCTTGAGCTTCCTCGACTCGCGTGGTTTTATCCCGCGCTCAATCTCTCGCTCTCGTTTCACGGTGAGCATCCGAGCAATCTGCGATAAGTAGGAGAGCGTGGGCTTAGCCGCAAAGCTGTTTCTAGACTTAGCTTACCTTCTTTTTCATGTTCTTGTAGTCGCTGACACGGTAGTCCTGCCGGGTTACCTTCTTGCAGCGCATGAGAAAGAGCTCGCCCTTCAAATCCACCACCGTCTCGTTGATGAGCTCGTCCGACATCCCCCGGATTTCCTTGAGCTCGATGGTCCTCTTGGCCATCATGGACACTCTGAGCGGCTGCGCCCTCAGCCGCAAAGGTGCTGCGATCTGAGTCCTCTTCAATCCCTGCTAGAAAAAACCCACCAGCAAAGAGCTGAGAGCAATGCAAATCAGAATTCGAGCACACTTACGCATGAATCCAGCTTGAGCCTCAGTCCTGCCATTCCTGTCGCTGCAAGCGCCATAGCCACAAAAGGATGAGACACTAGAAGAAGAAAAAATTTGGTTTTTTTTTTTAACTTTCTTCCATTACCTACCTATAGGTAAGGTAATTCTTCACAAATCAGGAAAACAAAAAAGAGAAAAACATCGAACCATCTCAGCGCATAGATTGCTGGTGAGCTTTAGTGATTCTCCGCACGGCGGTCAGCCAGACACCACATTCGTCCCACTCTCGCGATGTCAAGTCGCCCTGCACACAGAGAAAAGATGGATCGTCAGCTACATACGGCAGAGGAAAAGGCAAACTCACTAGTATCTCATGAGCCGAAGGGAAATTCCGACTATCCAGTGCCTGACAAAGCAGAAGTAGCTTCGTCTCGACATTTGGCGATACGTCCCCAGAGTTTAGCTTGGCGAACAAAGCTCCAAGCTTTCTGGAGTTGTCATCCACTTCACGTTTCTTTACAGGGTTGCTCATATCGGACGTTTCAGCGAAAAGCCTTTTGAACGTAGAAACCACAGGCTTCAATTCATCTGTAAAAGAAACCAAATGTAAAAACACGTTGTGTAAGGCGACATTACCTTTAACATTCTGTGTGTCAACGGTGTGGACAGTCGGGGGAGGGGCCGGCGCTGATGGAGCTGTGTATGTAGGCTGGGGTGCTGGGGCAGATTGTGCTGGTGCTGTATATGTTGCTGGAGTAGAATGTGGTGGTGCTGTATATGTTGCTTGAACTGTATAAGGAGTCTGTTGTTGTAAGTGTGAGATCAATGGTTGAGCAGCTGTCGGTGGACTAGGAAGGCGTTGGAGAGGAGGCTGCACAGGCTGCACGCGAACAGGGTTGAATCCAGCAACAGGATTGAATCCAGCGGGCGTATGAACTTCTGTTTGATGTGACGGTCTCGGCACCATGAAGCTTGAAGCAGGAGGTTGCACACGAACAGGGTTGAACATAGTTGGAGGCGGGACGTGAGGTTCTGTTTGCTGTGGAGGCCTTGGAACCATCAAGCTTGGAGCAGGAGCGCTAGGAGCGGGAGAAGATGGTGCATACTGACCCATCGTTGGCGTTGGCGTTTGTGTGTAATGCGGGTAGTCGTACGGTTGCGAAGAAAATCCCTATGAGCATCCCACATTAGGACAGGTAACAACACATCTCGAAGTACCTGATTGTAACTCGGCGTATACCCAGTGTTAGGATACATGGGTGATTGACGGCTTGCCACTGGCGCTGGCGCGGGCGCGGGCGCTGCCACTGGCACTTGCGGCGGTTGCTGACTTCTCTGAATTCTGTCTCGAAGTATCGTCAAACTTTGAGGTAGTTCCCCGGGGACCAAAGAGAGATACGCGCCGGCAGATTCAACAAGTCCTTCACTCGCAAGAAGTTCACAAAAACTCTCTACTGCCTTTGCTAAGGCCGGAGTGAGTCGCTTAAGTTCGACAGCGACAGCCAGCACAAGTGACTTCTCCACTAAATCCTGTGATCCCAATGTTAGTAGCAAGAGACACTGAAACAACCATACCTGTAAATTTGTCGTAACATGCTTCCCATGATTTGGGGTGCTGAACGCGCGAGAAAGCACTTCAATAGTCTTCTCAACATTGCCTGCACATATATAACAGATTGTTGCTGCTTGAACATCGCCGCCAAGATCAAGCCTTGAAGCCAACGCATTAGCAAGTTGTGACCAGTCTTCACCACGCGCGTACTGCGAAAAAAAGAAGAAAAAAACAACTGTAAATCTACTTCGCATAAAGCAAATAATACCGTAGCCAGAAGAGCTAATGTCTGCTTCCATGCAGCTAAAGGCCTGTTTGCGACTAATCCACTGAAATCTCGTGTTACAATCGCGGACAGAACCTGGCAATATAAACCGAGGTGAGATTTAGGAACACAAGGCATCACGAACCTTGAAATATGAACGTTGGTTTTTCTTCACATACTCATCCCGAGTTTTCTCTCCCAAAGCTTGACTTCCAGCATAAGCAATGCTCAAGGCATCCGCAATTCGGTTCATAGAAATGCATTGTGCCACTGCTCCCTTGAAGTCTCCAACAACCAGTGCCTCCTCGATTGCATTGTCCGAGTCCCTGCTAGTATCATCTACTTCTTGTTCTTCTGTGCCTTCTGCGGTGGTCTCATCTTTCCCGTTCATTTGTCCAGCAGCTACCTCGGGTTCTTTTGGCTCTTGAAGGTTTTCAAAAAAGTCCTCCCCATCGTCAATTGGTGTTTCTACAGCCGGTACGTCTGTTTGAATTTCGGCCTTCTCTTCAAACTCTTCGGCAAGTGCGTCGACTTCAGAAAATTGAAAGCCAAGCTGATTCAATAGAGCCTTTCTTCCTCCATCATCGTCAAACATCAGCTTCAAATATTCCCACACTTCTCGTTCTTGATCAGATCTGCTAAAAGAAAAATTAGGATGACTGCACAAGCAAAGAATGGAAGACATACTCTGCTTCAGAAGCTTTTCGATCACAAAAAGACTTCAAAAGAGTCCTTCGATCGCCATTGGTAACAGCTTCCTCAAATTCAGTCGAACGTTTCACCGTGCCTTCTTCGATCGCCAAACTATGAACCTTGACCTGTAAGGAAATTTCGAGTTGCGAATAGAGTACAAAGGTGAAGATGTCTACCTCCGAAGCTATAGAATTTTCAGCCTTCTTTTTAAACGAGACGAGCTTTCCACCAAAACCGAAACTCGTTCCCACTGGTCTCTTGAGCCACTTTGGTGCCTTCAAAACCACTGTAACAACAAGCCGAAAGCTTACAATATTACCAAGACATGGCTCTACATTACCAGGAGAAGTACGTCCATATTCCTTTTCATTATGGTGACAGGACTGGAACAAAACGAGATTCTCTTGTATAACAAACGAAATGTACATTCCATGACCTACCTCAATACTGTATATGCCAACTCTTCCATCATACGATGAGGCGGATAAGATGCCAGGCGTCCGGGTAGACCATTGCACGTCAAAATTCCAACTGTTGCCTCTAGGTAACTCCCCGATAATCTTTCAATCAATTGCCACAAGTCAAGGAAAAACCAACAGATATAAGCCAGGAAAGCTTACCTCCCCTGAAACGTCCCAGCACAATGTTCGATTGTCCTTTGCAGAACTTAGTAGCATCGAACTATCACTTGGACACCAAGCCAGTGAAAGGATTCCTGTAACAAACAAATTTAGGCATGCAACGGATGGAACAAATCGCACCTTTTGAATGTCCAGTAAGAACTCGTGTCGGATGATTCGCTTTTCTCAAGTCCCAAGCCTACAGAGGTATAAAACTCAGAACAAAGGAAACAGAAAGCGAAGCTCTTACCTGTAAACAAGGCATATTGTCATCGTCAACTGCGACAATTAACTCGGTTGGAACTTCCGGATTCCATTGTAACGCAGAGTATCGCAGTTTCGATTGTGGATCTGAGAAGCTGAAGAGGAACATGAAAACAAGAAATCAAAGTAAGTTGGAACCTTACCTCAAAACACTTTTTCGTTTCTTCAAGTCCCATACCACTGAAAAAGAAAACAACAGCAAATAAGGAAGACTTAGAATTCAGCGCCGAAAGTACCGCAAACGCCTTCATTTGATGTTGTAGCAAAGATATGAGAAACCTTCCGGTTCCATGAGAGGTGAGAAATCGACGATGCTCCTTTCCACTGTAGAGAAAATCATAGTACTAGACTGGTTCTGAGTTTAAAAAGAAAATAGAAAAACCTGAAGCGGTGGACATGGCTTCGGGGCAGCAGTATCCGTGAGATCCCAGATGTAGACCGTGCCTTCAGCATCACCAGACGCAAGGAAATTCGGAGTGATCGGGTTAAACTCTAGCCCAACGATCTGAAATTCCACAAACAGGGTTGAAAATCGAGCAAAGTAACAAGAATGCTACCTTCTGTGTGTGCTTTTCTATCTTCGCCTCGGCGGCACTCTCCGTATTGCTCTGGAAATCGCTGCAAAGACAAATGTGACCTAGAGATCTAGCGGTCGATCGCTGGCCTACCTTACAAGCGCGGCCGGATTCCAGATATTGATGCTCCCATCCGCCAGTCCGCCGGCCAGCAATCCCGCCTCACCCGCCCAGCTGAGGCGATTCAGCGGCTCGGCGGTGGCGCAGGATCCCACCAGCGGCAGCTCGACGTCGTCGCTGGCCAAATCGAGCTTGAAGAGCTCCAGGCACGTCGACGAGCTGAGCGAGGAATCCAGAGATCCGGCGACCGTCCCCGCGGCGATGAGATTCTCGCTGGGGCTGAACGCTGCTATGGCCGAGCGCGAGATCGTCTTGACAGCCGCCATGGCTCCGCTCGCTCGCTCGCTCGCTCGCTCCTCACAATAAGCCCTAGATCGCGAAGCCTCGATCAAATGCCGTCGATGCCATGGACGGCCCATGATAACATTCCAGAGAATATCCTCCTACCTAGCTACATTCTTCTCTCGTTGCTGGGAGTCGAACCAGGCTCGTCCTTTGGCGCGTTTGGGAAGAAGGCGATGAAGAGGAGATTGTTAACGATGGTGATAAGGAAGAGAATGGCAGCGAATTTCAAGAAGAAGGCACTCTCCACCTCGGGGAACTGCGCGACCTCCAATTCCTTGTCGGATTTTCGTGGCGGCGGAGGAACTGATCGAAGCAAGCAAGCAACATCGATAGCATTGAGCATTTCGATCGAAGAAATCTCTTCTTCCTCTTACCGGAAGAAATTCTTGGAGGAGATCTGGTGGACGAGAGGCCCTCGAGCTGATTGTCGAGCTGCTGGAGCTTAATCTTGCGCTGTTCTTCATCGCTTTTGCTGCAACACCGCGCTGCTAATCCTCGCCTCCTCCTCAAGAGCGAAAACGCTGCTATCCTTGGAATCGCTACTAGCGTTACGAGCGACGCCATGGATGGATTAAACTCCGATTTGCTGCGGAACAACGTTTGATTTTGTTTGACTTAATATGGACGATGGATGGATGCTGAAAATCTAACCAGAAAGATCCATGAATATAAAGAAAATTCTCAATTTTTTCTTTATTAATAATAAGAAAGCATTTTACAAGAATCATTGGCCCATGCAGGTCTCGAACCTGCGACCTTCGCGTTATTAGCACGACGCTCTGACCAACTGAGCTAATAGGCCTCACATGACAACATTGTCAAGTTTCAGCTTACAATGCATCGCAGATAGCTAATTTATGGTTTGTAGAAATATTAGTAATAATGTTTATAACAACTAAAGGATCCGTGGCGCAATGATAGCGCATCTGACTCCAGATCAGAAGGCTGCGTGTTCGAATCACGCCGGATCCAAAGAGAATTTCTTTTTGTCTTCCTCCATTCGTTCTATAGAACCTCATTTTTTCTCTCGTATGGATCATCGCACCAACAAACATCTGATCCACGAGCGCGATGCTCATGGCAATCCCAATCGTAGCTTAGCAGCAGCAGCAGCCCATCACGCAGTAGCGCCCACAGCATTTGCGCGCCATCCGAGCAGCACACGAGCATTCTTTCCGCGATCGCGGGTGAGCTCCCAGACCTCCAAGAACAAGCCACTCCCCCCAACCAAAGCCACTCGATTCCCACACTGGAGTAGCTCTTTGGGCTCGAAAGTCCAGGTGAGAGTCGAGGTGAAACGAGAACAAAGCCACGAATCGTCTCACATGGACTCCATGGAGTAAGCGATCACCCTCCTGCCGGCCAAATCCAGCGCGTACCGCACAAGGTGCTTGCCACCACCTTCGTCAAGCACACTACCGTCCTCGAGCTTGAGATACCGCTTCACCTCCCACGAATCCAATCGATCGTCGGACATGCTCTCGATCCTCGCCAGCTTGAATACGTGCTCTGTAGCGACGACAACCGTGAAGACTTCCAGGATCCCGACCCCTCTGAAAGGGGAGAGGTTCCTGGGAGGATCTTCGTCGGCCGAGGCAGCAGCGCACACAAATGTGTGATCTGGAGCATCCACAAGCCCAGCGAGTTATTGAAGATCGCCAGCCTCGAGAGGGCTCTTGCTCGGGCTCGTGCTCGGGCTGGGGTCGGGAGGAACGCCACCCAGTGATCAATGGCGGGCTTGCAGGTGGCGGAGCACGTAGAGGGCTTCCATGGAGTCGTTGCTCAGCTAGAACCCTAACTAATAGAGGATTAGGGCTCCTACTGGAAGAAGACCCAGAGCAAATCTGGGAGGGTTTGCTTGGGGCGGATGAAAATCTTCAAGCTCTTCTCTAGCATCCCCGCGGCGGCGTCCAGCCCCTTGGCGCTCAGCTTGGCGCACAGCGACACATCCAGATACTCGAGGCGCGAGCAGCCGCGGGCAATGTGGAGCAATCCCTCGTCCGAGAGCTCGCCCCTCTTCATCTCCAGGTGCTTGATCCCGCGCAGGGATCGCGATAGCACCAGCGCCTCGTCGTCGTCCCCTCTGGCCAGGAGCTTGTTCCGCTCGATCCGGTCGCTGTTCCTCAGCATGTTTCGCTTGAGCCGGATCAGGCGCGGGCAGTGCCGCCCCAGGGCTTCCAATCCGGCGCTGGAGATATTGTAGCAGTCGCTGATGTCGATCGATGCCAGGAGCGGGCATTTGTACGCGAGCGTCATCGCCGAGGAATCGGTCACGCGGAGGCTGTTCCGGATCCCCAAGCTCACGAGCTTCGGGCACCTGTTGGATCGATCATCGAAAATTTTTCCAGTGTTCTTCCAAGGGACGAGAGATCATACCTGTGAGCGATGTATTCCAGGGAGGAATCGCAGCAATGCATGGTGCGCAGGTCTTGGAGCATCCCGCGGCTCCGATCGACGACCTCGTGGATGATCCACTTGATCTGATCGTCACACTCGAACTCCCACCAGAAATCCTGCTGCACGCGCGCCAGGAACCACGGCTCTATGTCCACGCTCGTCCAGCAATGCGGCTCCTCCTTGCATGCCCTGTTCCATCTCTTGCAAACCAGTGGCGCGCTCAAGAATCTCTCCTCAAACGGCAGCCTCGCAAGGATCTGCGCCAGAAGATCGGGAAGTAGCTGCTCCCAGCAGGAGAAAGATTGCTCATCTTCCAGGCCATTTCCCTCCTCGTCGGTCATGATCTTGATCAAGAAACGACGCCACTGCTATCTAGCCCGAGATTGGGAAGGGCATTGTGATTGAAATCTGCCGATGGCGCTGCCGGCTGCCGCTACTCAGCATCTCGATCGCTCCCGGCGTCTCGATATTTCGATCCAGCCAGCGATCACACCGGACCCCGATATTTCGATGAATCCGCTCGAGTCCCACCCGCGCCGTCGCCTAGATCTTGCCTGGGACCCGATCAAGGAGCTCTTCGCCTGCATTCTTCGATGCTGTGGGAACGCTCAAGATCTGGCCAAAGTGCGCTGGATCCACGCCTGCATTCGTCGCAGCGATCGACACCGCGACGATCCCGACCTCGCCAATCTCCTCCTCCAGATGTACGCCCGATGCCACAGCCTGGCCGACGCGCGCGCCGTCTTGGAATCGATGCGCGCCCCGGACGCTTCCTCTTGGACGATTATGATCGGCGCCTGTGCCAAGAACGGGCATCTGGAAGATGCCGAGGGCATCTTTGCGAGCATGGCGAAGAAAAGCATCGTGAGCTGGAACGCGATGATCGCAGCGTACGCGATCAACGGCCAGATCGATGCCGCGCGGCAGACCTTCCACGCCATGCCACAATGGGACGTGGTATCTATCACGGCTATGCTTGGGGCATATGCCCAACACGGGCATCTAAACGCCGCCAAGGCTCTTTTTGAAACAATGCCTGAGCGCAACGTGGTGACGTGGAACACAATGGTGACGGCACATGGGGTAAGCGGAGCCGTAGATGCCGCTGAATCGACGTTCCAGAGCATGCCAGAGTGGAACCTTGTCTCGTGGAACGCAATGCTCCAGGCATATGCCGCGAATGGGAATGTAGATGCCGCGCAAGCCACATTCACAGCCATGCCAGTTTACAACATGGTATCATGGAATGCAATGCTGGGAGCATATGCCCATACCTTCCATCTTGATGCAGCCGAGTCTACCTTCACCGCAATGCCCTGCCGAGACACAATCTCCTACAATGTCATGATCGCGGCATATGCCCAGGGAGGGCATATCTACGCGGCAAAGCGAGTATTCGACGCCATGGACGAGAGGAATCTCGTATCGTGGACAACGCTGCTCCACGCGTACGTCCACATCGGCCGTATTGAAGAGGCCAAGGGAATCTTTGACAAAATGCCCTCACGCAATATCGTGTCATGGACGGAGATGCTGCAGGGCTACTCGGGGGAGGGCCGTCTGGGAGCCGCCGAGGAAATATTCGATGAGATGCCACAACACAACGTTGTGTCGTGGACCGCGATGCTCCACGCATATGCCGGAAACGGGCATATGGACGCGGCAAAGGCTCTGTTTGATAGAATGCCACAAAAAAACAGTGTGTCCTGGACGACCATGCTCCAAGGCTATGCCCAAAACGGGCATATCGAGGGAGCCACGGCCTTGTTTAGGAGAATACCCGAGCTCGACGTTCTCTCCTGGACGACCATGGTGACGATCTTTGCTCACTCTGGCTCTGGCTGGATCGCCATCGAGTACTTCCGGATCATGCTGCTCGAGGGTCTCAAACCCAGTAGAGTCTCGATCCTCAGCGTCATGGTCGCTTGCAAACACGTTGGTTTGGTCCGGGAAGGCTGCCGCTACTTTGTCTCCATGAGAGACGATCACGGGCTCTTTCCACTGGAGGAACACCACTCTTGCTTGATCGAGATCCTGGATCGAGCAGGCCAGTTCGAGACGTTGTCGAGCAGTAGCTTATTCAGTGCCAAGTTCTGCTCCTTGGTAAATGACGAGCTCCTCCAGCAGCTTCTCTAAATGCACTGGCACCGAGCGGGTGGCAATTGAGCGTTGGAGGGTCTTCTCCTGTCCCGAGCAATCGCCTCTCGAACACCCGGAAGCTTGGAGCGGACTTTCCTCCAGATCATGTTGACGGCTCCATCCTTGATAGCAGCACCTCTGCCGCCGGGAAAACCATTCTCGTACTCGAAATGGTGCTGTAAACTAGCCAGGTTGTGACGCATCTGATTCCTGACCTTGCTGCTGAAGCTGCTCAGGTGCCGGACGAGCCACTTCGGCAGCAAAGCGTCGTGAACTGACACAAAGATGGCGAATTGCGTGTAGTCGAGCATGCCTTCGAACGGTAGCTCGATACTGTCGCTGACGATCACGGGTATGCACAGGCTTGCCACTGCATCGAACAGACGGCAGGAGCTGGGCGTGTCGCCGGCAGGGTGGAGGCAAAAGTGAGAGTTTCTCATGCCTTGGACTGCTTGGACCTGGCCTGTTCTGTTGGGAAAGCCTTCCTCTAGCAACACTCCGGGCTCGCCATCGAGAACACTCCATAGCTGGTCCCGAACAAGTCCAGTCTACGAGAGAAACAAAAGGAAGAAAAATGAGAAACCAAACACGATGTAGAACAATTAGATTACAATAAAAAAGTACGTACTCTGTGACGATATCTTGCGCCCTTGAAGTAGAGAAGCGTGCTGCGAACGGCATTGTCTTGCGAGAGTGCTAGCGTTGGAAGAAGGTGAGTATATGGAACGATGACATCTTTGATCAACGAAACCTGAGTGTGATAGATGGGCTGGGGACTGCTCAAATTTCTAGAGCTCTTTGCATCTTCCATGTACCAGCCACCAAAATCCACAACCAGAAGGATGGAGTTGGCTATCTCGGCCCGGAAGTGGTACATGGCCATCGGATCTAATTCATTCATCCGAGAGTTTGGTAAAACGAAGATTTTGTTTGCGTAGGCCTACCTGTGAGAACGAAGACGTGATCTCTTCCACCCGAGCGTTGCCACCGCGAGGAGCTCGTCACAATCTCCATGACCGCCCTCTGCCTCTCGTAATCCTCATTATCCTTGCGGTGCCTGAAATGCCCCTTCCCATTCCTGAGCTGTGCCTCCGCGCTGAGCGCTGCGAAGAACGGCACGAACACCACATCCGCCTGGTCTGGATCCAAAACCCTGCGGGCGAACGACGCATCGCTTCCCGCTTCCAAATCTCCCAGAATCCAATACTCCGCGCTGTACTGTCTGACGAGAGGATCGTCAGGGTACGCCGGGAAAGCATCGATCTGGCTCACAGCACTCCCTGGATAGCTCCTCACCAGGCCGTAGTTGAAATCGCGAGAGAGATTCGCAATGTGGACGCCAATGCCGCCGCTCCAGCTCCGATCGTCGTCGACAGCTGCCCGCTTCAAAGAAAACCCCGATGGATTGGAGTAGAACAGGACGAGGAATGTGATCTGAGACGCAACGATCGTGATCGCGGCGGAAGAAGCACCGCATCGGGGCAGCTGCATTCGATTCGAGAGAAAGAAATAGGGAAGAACCCTAGAAAATATTTTGGAGTCCACTCCACGGACTTGAGAGCCGGATTCCAATTCGGCCGTGAGTCCGTACGCACTGGGTGTAAAGTCCATTCCATCCATCCACAGTCCCGTTTCGTCGTGGTCGGCCTCTCCAATATGCGATAATTTCTAGGGATTTTAGCCCCATTTCTTGGTTCCAAGAGTTCTAAACCCTCGCCCTGCCCAGCGGGGATCGTCGCGGCGCCGGATCTGGTGAGCTCCCCGATCGATACTCCTCTCCCACCTCCGTAATCTCGCTTCTCGAATCTCATTCTCTCCTCCGCCAGGTGAAAATCTTCCATTCCCACGCGCGGTGCCTCCGATCTGGATGCGCCAGTGATGGCCGCCGCTGTAGGTATGGCGCACACCATGGTAGCGGGATCCGAGCCCACGGCGGCGACGAACACCAGCAGCAGCAGCAGCAATGGCGGCGGGGGAGGAGGAATTCCAGGTCGCGTGGATTGGGCAAACTGCCGCCGCAAGTCCGCGCACGTCGTCCTCTGCCCGCTCGTCCGCGTCGGCCATCTCAATCCGATGATGATCCTGGGGCAGAAGCTCGCGCAGATGGGGCTCTCGGTCACCGTGCTCATCCCCGGGAATCGCCCGCTCCGCCGAGTCCTCAACAACAATCCCACCGACGGCCTGGACGTGCTGCTCGAGGTGCTGGACATGGCCGAGGACGAGGACTCCTGGCAGCCCAGCAGCCGATCCATCGCCACCGGCGCGCGGCGGCTCCAGGTGGATATGTGCGCCGTGGCCAGCACCATGTCCATGTTCCAGATGCACGGCGAGGCCCTCCGCCGCAAATTCGACGAGATCAGGCGCTCACCATCGCCGCCCGTGTACGCCGTGATGGATTACATGCTCTTCTCCTCGGCCAGCGATGGATTCCTGGCCGAGAACGCCAGCCTCGTCCCGATCTGCGTCTTCTGCCCGATCTCCGCCGCCAGCATCATCTTCCATATGTCGGCCTCGCAGCAGACGCTCCCCTCCAAGCTCGCTGATGGGTTCGTCATCCCGGGGCTGCCACCATTCCGCCCACACGACATCTCCGACTACTACCGCGAGACGTCCCACGTCTTGAATCTCCTCTTCTCCGAGCACAGCAATCTCCTGGCCGAGTTCCATCGCCTCATGATCAACACCTTCTACGACCTCGAGAACGGCCCCCTGGACGTGCTCCGCCTCGACGCCAAGGCCACCAAATCCAAGGTCTACGCCGTCGGCCCGCTCCTCCCGCCCGAGTTCTTCAAGCTCGATCTGGCCAAGCCCACGGGCGATCGCGCGGTGGAGGAGATCAAGGAGCACCGCGATCGTCTCGTCAAGAGCGCCGACGAGCAGCGATGCAAGGAGTGGCTCGACGGCCAGCCGGAGACCTCGGTGCTCTACATATGTTTCGGGAGCTGGATCTCGCTGTCGCGCGCCCAGATCTTGGAGCTGGCGGTGGGATTGGAGGCGAGCGAGCAGGGATTCCTGTGGGTGTTCTCGCGCGTCCAGGAGATGGAAGCTCTCCCGGAGGGATTCGTGGAGAGGATGGCGAGTAGCAACAAGGGCTTCTTCTACGTTGGCTGGGCGCCGCAGTTCGTCATCCTCAGTCACTCCTCCACGGGCGCGTTCGTGACGACGTGCGCGTGGAACTCGGTGCTCGAGTGCATCTCCCTGGGCGGCCTGCCCATGCTGGCGTGGCCCATCACCATGGACCATCTCCCCACGTGTCGCTACCTGGTTGACGTGCTCCACGTGGCGGTGGAGGTGATTGGCGACGGCGACGAGCGTCTCGTGGGGCGTGCTGAGGTGGAGGCCGCGGTACGCGCGGTCACGGTCGGGGAGGAGGCCGCGGCGATGCGGCGGCGTGCCGCGGCACTGCGGCGTGCGGCGTGCGAGGCGGCGACGCAGGAGCCATTGCGGCCGTTTGTTACCGAGGTACTGCGCCACGCCCACCAGCCGCAGTAAAAAGTGGCGATCTACCTTTAATTCCGGGTGGTGGGTAAATTTCTTTCTTTTTTACCTTTTCATACCGGGCGGGGCAGCAGTGGAAAACAAATTTTTATGGGTATGATCTACTACGTCGAAAGGTTTCTACGTGATTTTTTTCTTGCTTGCGAAGGTTTCTACGTAGTGTTTTTTTTCTTCTTCTCTTACGTGGGAGAGGTACTTAAGCATTTGCTTGCTTGGGGATTGGATCTTTTAATTTTTTCTTTCTTTGTGCCTTGGTTTGTTCTCTTGTTTATAATCCTCATCTCTTTATATGAGCGGTCTAGGGAGATCGGCTATGGCTGCCGCCTCGTCGCAGCAGTTCGCAGGTCTCGCGCTCCCGCGCAATCGCTCGTCGACGGCGGCGTCGTCCCAGCGCGCAGCATTCACAAGAGCGTCGTGTTCTTCCTCCAGCGATCAAAATCAGGGTTCTTCGGTCGGCTGTGGTGGCAGGCGGAGCTTCCTTGGCGGCGCCGCTGCTAGCGCTGGCTTGGTGATCGCATTGCCGACGCTGAGGTCGTCCGCAGCCGAGGAGCAGCTGTCGCAATGGGAGAAGGTCCCGCTGCCGATTGATCCCGGCGTTGTTCTTCTCGATCTTTCCTTCGTTCCGGACGAGCCGAATCGAGGTTTGTATCGGTTAATGGCGCTGAATTTTCCGAAATATCGGTGTTCCTGGCAGGATTCTTGCTCGGGACGAGGCAAACGCTGCTGGAAACCAAGGACGGTGGAAGATCGTGGTCTCCCAGGAGCGTTGCATCCGCCGAGGAGGAGGATTTCAACTACAGGTTTAATTCCATCAGCTTCAAAGGCAAGGAAGGATGGATCATTGGAAAGCCCGCGATTCTTCTCCACACATCCAATGCTGGCGAGACCTGGGAGAGAATTCCCTTGAGCTCTCGGCTTCCTGGCAATCCAGTTAAGTTCTAGCATCTAGAGAAGTGCTGTTCTTGGCGCTCTCATTCATACCTTCTTTTTGCTTTCCATTTCCAGGTGGTGATTCAAGCAACTGGAGACAAGCAAGCAGAGATGGTCACCGACGAAGGAGCGATCTATGTAACATCCAATGCTGGTTACAACTGGAAGGCCGCAGTGGAGGAGACGGTCTCGGCAACTCTTAACAGGTAAAGAGAAGCATTTTTTTGTTCCTCTAGCGATTGGAAGTTTATTGAGTTGTGTTAGATGATCTGCCAGAACTGTGTCAAGTGGAATCAGTGGAGCTAGTTACTACACGGGAACTTTCAACACAGTGAATCGCTCACCGCAAGGTGACTACGTTGCGGTGTCTAGCAGGGGCAACTTCTATATGACCTGGGAGCCCGGCCAGGTAAATGGTTGTGATCTTAAGCTGCAAGTCACGATGTTGATCTGTTTTCGTGGTTCAGCCTTACTGGCAACCTCACAACAGGAGGAGTGCCCGACGCATTCAAAACATGGGATGGCGTGCTGATGGTGGTCTTTGGCTTGTTGTTCGTGGAGGTGGTCTCTACCTTGGGAAATGCTTGGGTGTAAGTTTCCTTCTCGTTTATCTTTCTTTTTTGATGTTTGATGTTTGATGTTTTAAAAAGGTGTGCGAGGATTTCGAAGAGGCCAGCATTCCAAGCAGGGGATTCGGGATTTTAGACTTGGGATACCGGTCTAAGGTGTGAATGTCAGCACTGGAACGATAGAATTGAAAATGTGTTTTTGTTTTCTACCAGGACGAAGCTTGGGCTGCCGGTGGAAGTGGCATGCTGCTCAAGACAACCGATGGAGGAAACACTTGGAGCCGAGATAGAGTCGCGGACAGCATTGCTGCCAACTTATACTCTGTCAAGTAAGCTCTTCTCGCTTCTAAATTTTTTAATCTCACTTCCGTCTAAAACAATCACAGGTTCCTCGACAACAAAAAAGGCTTCGTGCTAGGCAACGATGGTGTTCTTCTCCGCTACCTCAGCTAAGAATCTCCATCAAAACTATCAACTGGGCGATGGTTTCCCGATCGCCCAGTTCATCGGCAGTAGAGAATTTGCTACAGCAGCAGCAGCTCCAATCCCTGGCAGCGCTTGTAAAATCCCACTCGAGCTCCAAAGATCTAAACATCGCCAGACAAATTCACGCTCGAGTTCTAGACAGTCCTCTCTGGCCTAATAGATTCCTCGCCAATCTCCTCATGGAGATGTACGGCAAGGCGGGCGGCATGGACGAGGCGCGCGAGATATTCGACGGCATCTCCCACCCCAACACCCACAGCTGGAATATACTCATCGCGGCATATACCCACAACGGGCAATTTGATGTCGCCCAAGCTCTATTCCACGCCATGCCCGAGCGCGACGTCGTGGCGTGGAACTCGATCCTGGCGATGGAGGCGGCGCGCGAGGATTTCCAGGCGATGAAGGCGATCTTCAATGCGATGCCGGCGCCGGATCTCGTCTCCTGGAATGGTATGATCGCGGCATTCTCCCAGGCAGGGCACCTCGCGGCGGCCAAGGAGATGTTTGATCGCATGCCGCAGCGCGATCTCGTGTCCTGGAACACGATGATCCAGGCGTTCTTGCTGGCCGGGCAGATCCGCGAGGCAGAGATCATGTTTTGGGGCCTCCCGGACAAGAATGTGGTGTCCTGGAACACGATGATCCAGGGTTTCGGCGAGAAGGGGCAGATCCACGGCGCCAGGGAGCTCTTCGATGCGATGCCGTGGCGAAATATCATCTCCTGGACGGCGATTCTATCGGCGCACTCGCAGAGGTCGGATCTTTCCCAGGCGAAGGAGCTCTTCGACGCCATGCCCGAGCGAAATCTCGTCGCCTGGAACGCGATGCTAGCGGCATTTGCCGAGAATCACGATCTGAAAGGCGCCAGCGCGGTGTTCGATTCGATGCCGTGCCGCGACGTCGTGTCCTGGACGGCGATGCTTGTGGCATTGGCAAGACAGGGCAGTGTGGAATCCGCGAGAGAGATCTTCGAGCAGATGCCACAGAGGAACACTGTTTCATGGAACGCGATGCTGGAAGCTTATGCCCAGAATGGGCATCTGGAGGATGCGAGGCTTGTCTTCGATCGAATGTCTCACAGGGACATCGTCTCGTGGAATGGAATGGTAGCGGCGTACACTCACAGGAAAATGGTGATCCAAGCCAAGGCCACCTTCGATTCGATGCCGCAGCGCAACAATCTCTCCTGGAACACCATCGCCGCGGCGTATGCCCTGGCTGGGAAATCCACCATAGCTCAGCGTCTCTTTGACACCATGCCAGGGAAGAACACCGTCTCGTGGAACTCACTCTCGGCAACTTATGCCCAGTCCGGGCATATCGATCGAGCAATGGAGATCTTCCACGGGATGCTGGCTGCTGGATTGGAACCGGACGAGGTCTCGTTCGTGATCATGCTCTCGGCTTGCAGCCACGCCGGGAAGCTCGATCAAGGGTGGAGCTACTTTGCTCTCATGACTGGGGAGTTTAAGCTGGTGCCTTGGGCAGAGCACTACTACTGCATGGTGGATGTTCTTCGGCGGGTCGGGCAGCTCAAGCTGGCTGAGAGTCTGGTCAGCAACATGCCCTTTGTTCCAGATAGCAAGGTTTGGGGATCTTTGGTAGCGGTGTGTGTGCCGCAAGAGCAAGAGATGGAGCGAGGGAATCAAGCAGCCAAGAAAGCGTTTGAGATTGAGCCAGGAAATGCTGCTCCTTATGTATTGCTGTGCAATCTCTGGGGTAAGATCACTTGAAAACTTTTGAATTTTTTCAACTTTCATATTCTCAAAATTTTGAAACTTGCAATGTCCTCCACTTTTTCAGTAATTGAGATCATTTCAAATTCCAAGGCTTTACCAGAGAAAGAAGATGTCTTGCCATACTTTTGTCCAAGTTGCTGGTGCGTGTTTAGCACAAGAGAGTTACAAACTGCAAGAGAAAAGAGTAGTAGAAAATGCCTTTGACAGGAACTCCGCAGACTCGGGTCCATTTGGTAGATCTCAAGACACCTGTGAGATCTCGTTTTCTTTATGTGCGGGGGAGTTGCCTTGAGCGATTGGAGAATAAGTGTGATCACAGGCTTGGTTGACGCTGTTTTGCTCTGGCTTTTGATAGATTAAGCTGTAGTTACTTGATTCGATGCCAGCAGCTGGAAACAACCCAAGGATTTACATTGGTTCCCAAAGTAGCTCGTGTGAATTCCACACCTTTGTATCTGGAGAAAATTTTACGAAAGGTAGAATTTCCCCATTCTGCCAAAAATCTAGTTGGGAAGTTTACAGCGTCATTCAAGTGAAGCAGATGAAAGTTTGAGGCTCTAGAAAATCCTTGAGTACACTCAGACTCTTCTTTTCTCTCAGCTACATCAATGAAAAAAAGAAAGTGAACATCCAGATCGCAGCAAGTGAGAATGTATAGCATGCCCTGTCCTGTCCTAGAGCCTGAGCACCTCCCAGGCATTGCTGCTATGGTGGGAATGTTTGTGTCATGTTAACATCATAGCTGTTAAGCCTTAACTTTACTGGCACTCCCTCTTTTAGGCATTTGCAGTCATGAAATGCCACAAGGATTTCTTGAGGCCTTCTCACTGCTTTAACCCATGGCGATGGTCCAGAATGTCATTCCCTAGGCTTAGGGGAATGAATGGACACTCAATGAATGCAATGAGATGGGTCTTGCTTCTTGGTGCTCTAACATCACAGCATATAACCAGAAAGGGGATTTGGCAAGGGTGTCTTGGCTGTTGTGCAAAATGCCTATGTACAGCAAAAGCCTTTTGGCATTTGCTTCAAAAAAGGAAAAACTAATGTAAATTCCTGGAAACACGTTCAGAGTGTCGATGGTGGTGGATGAGAACATGTGGATGATTTTGAAACCTCAAATTTGGAAGTACAAATTTGTTTCCTAGGAATTTGTTCTTCCCACAGCAATTCCCCCTCTTGGGTATTTGCTCCAACCTGAAGTTACAAGGGATAATGATATATGCAAAGGGGCATTGATTGTAATGCATGAAAAGTTTCTAAAACTCTTATATATATGCATTACACATTACATGAAGCATGTGTTGCTTCTCAAAATGAGGGAATTCTATCCTAAAACAAATGTCCATCAAGTAAAATTGCAATTTCATCACATAATGAAGTTGTCTTAATTTGAAGCCATCATTGAAATTAAAGATAAGAAAGGCTTGAGGGATAGTTGTATGATTGATCCTAACTGGGTATGGCCTTTCACACTATGCTAAGCTATAGCTATTGCATAAGCACTTCTTTACAAGGCTAAAACGGAATGCTTCTGTAAACTCATAGTAAAAGGTATTCAACAATATTTTGATAAATTCAACATGAAAATTGTTAGGAATAAAAAGGTGTACTATGCTCAAAACTTGATTATGCACCTTCAAGACTAGAAATTTCCTGAGCCAAGGTTTAAAACCATGATGAAAATTGAAGAATTGCATGTTATGAGCATGCTTCAAGTAGTAGAAGCCATGGGGCAATTGGAACAAATGGGAAATGTTGAAGTTTGTAAGGCTCTCATGAAAACCTTGCACACACAAGGAGTTTTGAAATATAAGGGATTGTATTGTCTACAAGCAATCTGTAATTTGTTAAAGATTTCATGGTCCTTTAAGGAAATCCTTATTATCAAAGTGGCTCCTTCTTCACCTCCTCCAGCATCTGCTCTTGGTGCTCCACCAGCCTTGCCACAATTGGGAGTTGCAACTCAGCCAACGGGAGCAAACTGGGAAAGCTCTTGGCAATCCCCAACTTTACTACTCACATACAAAAGTGAGGAAACACAGATGCCAAGAGCTATTTCAAAGCCAAGGACGCTTTGGAGCAAGCACAAAAGGTGGTGGAGGCTGGCACTCCAAGCTTTCCTAGTTTGCTCCCACTGGCTAAGTCGCAGCTCCCAATTGTGGTGAGGCTGGTGGAGCATCAGGAGCAGATGCTGGAGGAGGTGAAGGAGGAGCCACTTCAATAAGAAGGATTTCCTTAGAGGACCATGAAGTCCTTGATAGATTACAAATTGCTTGTAGATAATACAATCCCTTCTATTTTAGAACTCTTTGTGCGTGCAAGGTTTTCATGAGAGCCTTGTGGATTTTAACATTTCCCATTTGCTCCAATTGCCCCATGGCTTCTGCCACTTGAAGCATGCTCACATCATGCAATTCTTCAATTGTTATTATGGTTTTAAACCTTGGCTTAGAAAACCTGTAGTCCTAAGGGAGTACAATTAGGTTTTGAGTGTAGCACACCTTTTTATTCCTGATAGTTCTCATGTTGAATTTGTCAAAATATTGTTGAATATCTTCTACTGTGAGTTCAAAGAAGCATTCCATTTTAGCCTTGTAAACAAGTGCTCATATAGCAACCACAACTTGGCATGGTGTAAAAGGCTATACCCAATTAAAGTCAATTATACAGCTATCCCTTAAGCCTTTCTTGTCTTTAATTTTGGTGATGGCTTCAAATTGGGACAGCTTTATTATGTGATGAAATTGCAATTCTACTTGATGGACATTTGTTTTAGGATAGAATTCCCTCATTTTGAGAAGCAACACATGCTTCATGTAATGTGTAATGCATATGTCCAAGAGTTTTAGAAACTTTTCATGCATTACAATCAATGCCCCTTTGCATATATCACTGTCCTTTGTAGCTTCAGCTTGGAGAAAATACCCAGGAGGGGGAACTGCTGTGGGAGGAACAAACTCCTGGGAAACAAACTTGCACTTCCAATTTTGAAGCTTCAGAATCATCTGCGTGTTCTCATCCACCACCATTGATACTCTGAACGTGTTTCCAGGAATTTGCATTTGTTCTTCCCTTTCTGAAGCAAATGCCAAAAGGCTTTTGCTGTACATAGGCATTTTGCACAACAACCAAGACGCGCTTGCTAAATCCCCTTTCTAGTCATATGCTACGATGCCGGAATGCCAACAAGCAAGACCCATCTTATTGCATTCATTGAGTGTCTATTCATCCCCCCTAAGCCTAAGGAATGACATTCTAGACCATTGCCGTGAGTTAAAGCAGTGAGAAGGCCTCAAGAAATCCTTGTGGCATTTCATGACTGCAAATGCTTGAAAGAGGGAGTGCCAGCAAAGCTAGGGCTTAGCAGCTATAGCATTAGCGTGACATGAGCATTCCCGCCATAGCAACAATGCCTGGAGGCACCCAGGCTCTGGGATGGGACAGGACATGTTGGCAGTGGAAGCGGAAGTGGAAAGGCATACACACGAGGAGGAAGAACTGTATATATATATATCTGTATATGATTGTGTACATATACATAAAGTTATTGCCACGTGGGCATAACTACTGCCACATCATCTCTACCTCTAACAAGGACATGCTATACATTCTTGCCTTCTGCAATCTGGATGATCACTTTCTTTTTTTCATTGATGTAGCTAAGAAAAAATAGGAGTCTGAACATACTCAACGATTCTCTAGAGCCTCAAACTTTTGTCTACTTCACTTGAATGATCACTAGGTTACAGCAAAGGCACTTATATAGATGTGGAGCCTTATGCACTATGGTATTAATTTTTTTGTAGTAAATAATTTTAAATTGTTGTACTAGCATATTGCAAGGTTGTGTAAACACAAAGGTGAGACCCAGCTTGCCTCATGAATTCTCAAATACTAGCTTATATACTATTTATATTGTCTACCTTTATAACTCTATTATATGGATTCTATGCTCATGCCTTGATACATGGGGCAACTCATTATAGTCGTGTGTTATAGTATGCATGTGATTTTAAACACATACACACAGGATAAATGTAAATTTTGCCAGTGTAAACGATGTAGGAGTTGACAATGCTCTTGAACATAATGCAGTAGAAAACAATATATAATATACCAGTAGAAAATAATATGGTATATTGTTGGGGTACTCAAGGCATGAGTTTTATTCAGAAGATGTTGACAAAAAATTAGGTTTGCTTTGAATATTTTCTTACATATGTTCATCACTCTCTACCATTGAGCATGTTTGGTGTGTTATATATATTTTATGCATCATTAGGATATTTGTGATTCCTTCACTACATGTAAATGCAGTATACTTTTTTCTTTTTTTGGCTGTCTTTAGAGATGGCGAGTGACTAAATTTTTGTTTTCTAGAAACTTGCAAAAGTTTGTGACATGCCACAAAAAATTTAAACTCCTTTAATTTTGGAACTAAAGAACTATGCAAATTGTGAATGTGCAATTAACTTTGTTTGTCAAGAATGCATTTGTATCTTTATGTAATTAAGCTACTTTATCAAAATATCTTAGTTCTTTAGAAGGAAAAATTGTATATTAAAAAATAGAAAATTTCACTTGGTTGTGAACACTCCCACCTCAAAAAAATCATCTCTCCCAACCGCACGAAAATATTCAACTACATCTTCCACCCCAACACCCACAGCTGGAATATACTCGCAACAGGCAATTTGATGCCGCCCAAGCTTTATTCCGCCCGAGCGCAATGTTATGGCATGGAATGGCGATGGAGGCAGGATTTCCAGGCGATGAAGGCGATCTGTAATGCGATGCCGGCACTAGATCTCATCTCCTGGAATGGTATGATCGCAGTATTCTCCCAGGCTAGGCAAGCCAAGGAGATGTTTGATCACAAGCCGCAGCGCAATCTTGTGTCAAAGAACACGATGATCCAGGCGTTCTTGCATCCTGGAACACGATGATCCAGGGTTTTGGCAAGAAGGAGCAGATCCACAGCACCAGGGAGCTTTTTGATGCGATGGCATGAAATATCATCTCCGCAATTCTATCAGCGCACTCGCAGAGGTCGGATCTTTCCCAGGTGAAGGAGAGATTACACAGCAATACATAAGGAGCAGCATTTCCTGGCTCAATCTCAAACGCTTTCTTAGCCCTCGCTCCATCTCTTTCTCTTGCGGCACACACACCGCTACCAAAGATCCCCAAACCTTGGTATCTGGAACAAAAGGCATGTTGCTGGCCAGACTCTCAGCCAGCTTGAGCTGCCCGACCCGCCGAAGAACATCCACCATGCAGTAGTAGTGCTCTGCCCAAGGCACCAGCTTAAACTCCCTAGTCATGAGAGCAAAGTAGCTCCACCCTCGATCGAGCTTCCTTGCGTGGCATCACAAACTAGACCTCGTCCGGTTCCAATCCAGCAGCCAGCATGCCGTGGAAGATCTCCATTGCTCGATCGATATGCCCGGACTGGGCATACATTGCCGAAGTACGGTGTTCTTCACTGGCATGGTGTCAAAGAGACGCTGAACTATGGTGCATTTTTCCGCCAGGGCATACGCCGCAGCTGTTCCAGGAGAGATTGTTTCGCTGCGGCATCGAATCGAAGGTAACCTTGGCTCGGATCACCATTTTCCTGTGAGTGTACGCCTCTACCATTCCATTCCACGAGATGATGTCCCTGTGAGGCATTCGATCGAAGACAAGCCTCGCATCCTCCAGATGCCCATTCTGAGCATAAGCTTCCAGTATCGCGTTCCTGTTTCTCTGTGGCATCTGCTCGAAGATCTCCACACTGCCGTGTCTTGCCAATGCAACAATAATCGCCGTCCAAGATACGACGTCGCCGCACGGCATTAAATCGAACACCCTTCTAGATCGTGATTCTCGGCAAAATGCCGCTACCTCGGTGGGTAAGATCGCTTAAAATTTTTGGAATTTTTCATTTTCTATTCTGAACTTCCGCGCCTGGTGCTCCACCAGCCTCGCCACAACCGGGAGCTGCGACTCAGCCAGCGGGAGCAAACCGGGAAAGCTTGGAGCGCCAGCCTCCACCACCTTTCGTGCTCGCTCCAGAGCGTCCTTGGCTCTGAAATAGCTCTCGGCGTCCAGCTTGTCAATGGGAACAAAATCATACTCTCGTTTGCTCCCCCACACGCACTTTGCCAGTCTCTTGAAGCGGAAATCCCAAACCGCGCACTCCCACTGCATATTGATATCCATAGCCACCGTGCGCACACCGTCCCTCCACTCTGTGAAGCTTGTCGAGCTCGTCGCGCTCGCGGCAAAGACTTCCCTCTCGGCAGCACACGCCAGCCTCTGCGCAAACTCGATCGCCGGCCACAGCTCCTTCGTCGGCAGATCGTCCCACTCGTCCAGCAGCGGGGAGAGTCGCGCCACCCATTCCTTGCCCGGCGCCGGGCCTGGGTAGTCGAAGTATGGATCCTCCTCTGCAATGAAGAAGTTCTCCATGAAGAGAGCCGGGTATTTCAGACCGCGGGCGCTGCCAGTCGCGACACGGGCGAATCGCTGGTAGAAGGAGAAGTCGAGGATCATGTCCATGTGGTATTCCACGCGGAAAGAGAGACGCTCCATGAGCAGGTTGACGAGGGATTTGTAGCAGTTGTAGTCGTCATCGCTTGGCTGTGCGACGCTGTAATATCTCCTCACCCGGACAGGACGACTCCTCCTCGCCAATGCCGCCAACGCCGCCAATCCAGCCGCCATCCTTTAAGGAAGAATAGGAATTTAGGGATTTGAATATTCGCCAAAAAACCAGTTCTCGAAATTCACCATCGCCACAAGCTAACAAACGAACCAGTCACGACTGAAAATGCAAAAGCTTCACACCCCAAAGCAAATGGCTGGTTTGGGGTGCAGCATTTCTAAACAGACCTGAGAAGTCGGCATTGTTGTTCCCACTCAAAGTTGACTTGGAGGGATCATAGCCACTGATAGCTTGACCTCTCCCAGAAATGAATTCGCCACAACCAGCTCTTGCTGCTCCGGCACGCACACAAAAACACATGAGAACTTCTGATGAAGCAAGTTTATGCGAAATTACGCCAACCTGGATGATATATGATCCGCAGCAGATAATCTTGTAGGAGATAACCTTCAACCCCTGCTTTCAGTGTTTCCGGATTGCCCACAACGATTTGCACCGAGCGTGCCAGCATCCCATAGTCAAAGCTAGTCCCAAATCATCTTTTCACATAATTTTAGCAAGGAAAGGAAAAACAAAATGCCTCAAACATTTTCCCATTGAAGGCAAATGGCACCTGGGGATCGGTTCTCTCATGGCGAAATTTAATTAATTCAACGTGGCGAGGTTTTCTCATGTCAAAATTTAAGTAAAAATTATCGACCAAGATTTGTTTCTAAAGACGGACGGCTGCGATGATATTTAATTGTTTTTGCTTTTAGGGCTAACTAGTTTAGGGCAGGGCGATGGCGATCATCTCTGAGGTAGAGGAGGAGGCCGAGGTCCCCAAGCCCGTCGCCGCGGCTCCCCCGTCGGACTCCGGCAATGCTGCTCATGACAAGATTTTGGAGGCGCTGCTCAAGGAGCACAATGATCAGCCGCTGGAGCTGCTCAAAACGGTAATCGGCTTTCTCACGCGCCGCTCGGCCGCCTTCCCCGACGAATACTTCGAGAGGCAGCTGTCGGAGATCGTGTCTAGCGCCAAGAGGCGGCGCGTCGATGGCAAGAAGAAGAATGCGGTGCCGGTGCCCGAGGCGGCGCCGTCGCGGGATTTCGAGAGCGAGCACAAGCATAAGGCCACCGGCGGTGGATCAAGTGGCAAGCAATCGGCGTCGGCGGCTGTCCAGGAAACCAAGAACGAAGTCAAGGAAGTGGAGAGTTCTAACTCTACCGGATTGAGTAAGTTTATTTTGTTCTTTGCTTTTTAGTTCTTTGCTTGATCCTTTCGGTTCTTGGGTTTTTCTTCCTGCTTACAATCTTTGTGTTCTTGCAGAGATCAATGCTGGAAATGGTGCCGATCTCGAAAAGTACTCGTGGACGCAAACATTAAGTGAGCTGACGGTGCAAATCCCCGTTGCAAAAGAGATCAAGGCGCGAGATATCGTCTGTGACATCAAGAAGAATCATCTAAAAGCTGGGCTCAAGGGTCAGCCGCCAATTCTCGAGGTGAGTGAAGGGATTCTCTTTCCTATTCTCTCACACTGTTGCTTTTTCTGTTATCAGGGCGATCTCTATGCATCCGTCAAGGTGGACGACTGCTTCTGGAGCATTGGTATGTGTTGCTGGTTGTTTATCAAGAGTTGGATGATTTTCTTGCTCTCAATCTAGATGCTGGCGATGGAAAGAAGGAAGCGGAGAAGTTCCTTTCTATCCTCCTCACCAAGACGAACAGGATGGAGTGGTGGAAAAACGTTGTGAAAGGCGAGCCAGAGATTGACACTCAAAAGGTTGAGCCGGAGAACAGCAAGCTGGGGGATTTGGACGCAGAGACTCGGCAGACCGTGGAGAAGATGATGGTATTTCATTTCATTTCTGTCTTTGTTCGCTGCTTAGTTTACTTCGTCTCCCTCGTTTTGCAGTACGACCAGCGGCAGAAGGCGATGGGATTGCCAAGCTCCGAAGAACAGCAAAAGCAAGAGATGCTCAAGAAGTTCATGGCACAGGTGAAAGCTTTTCTCTTTTGCGTTTTGGGATTTCTTTTCTCATTTTGATTTTGGCTGTGGCAGCACCCGGAAATGGATTTCTCCAAGGCAAAAATCTGCTAGAGTAGAGACCGTATGAATGTCTTTAGCATGCCAATTTCATAGTTTTAAGCGAATATTCTAAGCCTTAAAACATTCACTTTTCAAATTTGGGCGAATATTCTAGTCCTAAATTCGATAAAATTGCAAATTCACTAGGAGCAAGTGAAACTTTCCTTTTGCCTTGTGGCATTTGTTTGTCCTCTTTCCTTGCTATATTCTGTGGCCTATGCTGATCCCAAGACTTTGAAGATGCTGCCTGGCGAAATGCCTCAAGTACTTGCCCATTGGAGGCGAGAGGAGTTCTTTATCTTTCTATTTGGAGAAGAAGTGAACCCTAGGCTAATTTCCCAAACAGGCCATAGAATATTCTTGGAATATTTTGTGGCTTATGTTATTCTCCCCTCCCTCATGAATTAGCCATGATGGCAAACTCAGAAAAAGCTTTAGTTATGGAGAGTGTGGACCACTTTTGAATTCACAAGTTGAAGAATTGAGATTACAAGTTGAGCTCAATTTTCAATTATAATTTAATACAAACATTATAAACTTTAAAATATTAAGGTTATAATTTCACAAATCTCTACACATTTAATTTAAATATTAATTATATGCCATAATAGAGATGTTTGTTAGAACATAAAATAAGATGTTCACAGAAAAAGTATTTTTGTCACTTTTTTAAATTTGTACTCTGTACAGTAAATATCAGTTTGTCAAAATTTAAAAATTATTAAATTTGAAATAAGATTCTATATAAGGCGATAACCATTAATGTATGAATCTTCATTTGCACTCTTATTCAAAGGAGAAATACACAAGAACGTTTATGGGTTTTAATGTTAATAATATTTACTCTTGCAATCTTTCTTCCCAAAGTAATAATTCAAGGGCTAGAAGCTATAATAGTCATTTCATTATATCACAATTAAATCATACAAGAGAAAAAAAAGAAAGGATAATAAAGATAGTGATCACAAGTTGGAGATAAATGCAATGACAAAGGATGCAATAAATTGGGTGAAAAAGAATCCCTCTTATTTGTTTTAGAAAATTGCAATTCCGTGATTTTCAAGAAATGCCCTAAATATTTTCTAGCTTCTGGTGCAAATAATGGTGATGATCAATATGATGGTATATATACTCTTGCAATACATTACAACATCACATACCCAAAAGATTACTATGAAATATTTTTTGAGATGGTAAAGACAGAAATAAAAACACACGAGTACTACAGAGTATTGCAAAAAGAACACTCATAAATATATGAAATGAAAATATATTTTTTTTAATTATCTAAAGTATAATAAGTATATACTATTGATAGAGAATAAATATCAATAGTTTTTGAAAATCTAGTTAGCTCTAAAAGTCTTTTGCAACTCAGCAATAGTAAAGCTTGCGTGGTATATATGAATATCCACTTTAATGCCCTGGTGTAAGATGTTGATGAAGATATAGTACATATGTGTACAAGAAGCAAATGCCTTCCCATGTCCCTCATGTTTCATAAAGTCTAGATATATGCAAAAAGATTTTGAATGACAATTTTATACTCATCACCTTCTATTTTGACTATACTCCTTTACAAGTATATATACTCTATACTTCATAGAGAGAATCTCACACTCAAACTTATTTTACCCTGCTTCTGCTCAGTATTGATAAATTTAATTGCCTTACCTTTTCTTGCTGGCCTCATGTGCATCTATGTAGGAACAATTTTGATTTTATCATTCATGTCTCCAACTCTCCTCTTAAGATTGAAACTAGATTTCTCAAGGTTTTCAATCTCATCTGAGGTGAGCACAACCCTATTAGCAACTGGACATTCTTTAAATACTGCATCAAGTTTAGTCACTATAGTGTCTTTAAACAATTATGTATGGTTGGTATTAGTGTTGCAACAATATAGCCAACACCATTTTAAAAATTTACTTGCTTTCATTCCCTATGGAAACATAGGGTTAGAATAGAAGCAGATTTGTCACCATAGATCTAGGTTTATGTAAGTGATTAAATTTTTCATTTTATTTTAGTCACTTAACCACACCTCCGACCACTTGAAGGAGTCTCATTCACAACCTCCGTAAGTCATATTTTGGACTTAGGGACTTGCTAGCCCCAAGAATGGCATTCCTGCCACTCAACCATTGCACTTGGTCCAAGTGCTCCACGTGTCTGATCCTATGACTGACACCCCAAGGTACCACTGACATATCAGCCCATTACACTAAGGCCATGCTCATTCACCTTGGTCACACTGGTGGCTTGACACCATCTACATCATAGTCCTGTCTCTCAAAGACTGGGCCATCCGTCCATAAGTGATCATCCCAGATCCACTCCTTAACATCCTTAGGATGCCCGCAGACATAGGGAATAGCTTTCCCTATTATCCTTTTTTCGGTCCCCACCAAGTCCCTTTCTACTCATGGCCGTGTTCGTCAACATTGCCATTGGATCAAGTCCCACAGGCCCGACCACTAAGTCCCACGGTCCTCTAGGGCTTCCTCACCACACAATTGTATCCTTGGTCACTACACCAGAGGACTACTCCTCTTCCTTTCCACAATTTGGGCCTTTGGGACAACATTTCAGAACACTGTGGCCCTACGCGAGCCTCATGGGTACTCTCTCCACCTTCCACTTTTGGGTGCTTTAGCCATGAGCTTAGAGCGACGTTCCATTAAGCCATGCCAGGTATCCAAGTAGGTAGTGCCATCCATACTTGGACTAGGAGCATCGACCATTCGATCTCCCGAGGGAACTAGAGCCGGCTCACCAAGCTACCCCACTTGTCAGTTTGTATTCACTATAGTCTTGGACTTTCCAGTGGTCAGCTCATCACCCAACACTAGGCATGGCCTTCCTAGGCCAAACTAGCCTTTCCTGGCCAAATTGGCTCCACTGGGCTCCAACCCCCCACACTCTCCCTACTATAGTTTTGGAACCCCCCGCAGCCCCCCCCCCCCCCCTCCTGGGGGACGATTGCTTTGGGCTTTCACCCAACAGCCTGTATTAGTACTCGGACTTGGACTCAGACTCGGACTCGGACTCGGACTTGAACTCGGACTTGGACTCGGTCTCAGTCCCGGTCTCGAACTCGGACTCAGACTCGGTCTCGGACTCGGACTCAGACTTTGTCTCGGTCTCGGTCTCAGTCTCGGTTCCATCTCGGGTCCATTTCGGACTCCATTTCGGACTCCATCTTGGGTCCATCTCGGACTCCATCTCGGACTCTATCTCGGATTCATCTCGAACTCCATCTCGGACTCCATCTCGGGTCCATCTCGGGTCCCTTTTTGGAGCCTCGCTTATTGCTCGCTCCGTGTTCATTCCTCGAGCACTTTGTTGGGAGTTCCACTCCCGATCTCAACCTTTTAAGTCGGAGCTTTTAGTCCAAATGTGTTATGCTCGTTTGGCTTTCGCTTCAGCCATTACCACGTGGCACCCTTTCGGCTCCACTTTAAGGCTTAGGGATTTTGTGTCTCACAACTCCACCACCCATAAACGAAGTCCGATGTCCTCATCAAATGATAAACTATTTTATAAAGTAATACCAATATATATTACCCTTTCCATTCTTGGCATCTCACCAATATTCGTCAATGGTTTGATACCGAAGGCTCACCATGCTTTGTCCATCCTCTAAGGAGCATAGTCTTTTCAACTTAGACACTGGATCACTTGTGGTGGTTCTCTCCTTTTGTTGGTTTAGTTCTCGCTAAACCTATTATAGATGCCGTCTCTATCTCAATCCCACTACTCCTTCTTGAATAGTCTTAATTTCCATTGATATAACCTTTACACTTTGGAACTTTTACTTTTGACTTCTCAAAGTCAATTTCCTAGGTGTCTCCAACACTTTGCATTGCACATATTGTGCAACTCCACTTCCTCATCCTAGAAAGTTCTCTACTTAAGGGCACCATCATCCTCTTTTCTATTTCGTACCACCTTGAGCACTAAGTTTTAGTTATCATAATTTGTGCTAAGGATGTTCATGGCCCTATTATTTGGCTACCTTACCGCTCTCTGCTTTAGAGCTTCCACTTTCGCCAAATCGGAGCAATTGGGAATCCATCCTTAGAAACACATTGCTTTTCCCACAATTTGTTAGCACCTAACACATTAATGTTCTTTGGCCTAACTTTGCTTTTTTGGATTCTTTCCCATGATTCTTATAGCTCTTTTTTTAGCCACTAGTCTTTTGCTGCTATCCTTGATTGTTGCACCCAACAACATCGGATCACTACTTCTATTCTTGAGATATTCTTTCGGTTCCATAGCAAAGACTTTGCTTTGCCAAGTCCAGAGGGTGTTCACCCTTAGTACGTCTCTTTAGCATTTTCCACTATAGGCTCTATCCCTAACCCAACTTTATGACTCTCCCATGGGTTTCTTATAGAAATTACTTTCTTCGGACTCACTATGCTATCGCATTGTCACAGATCATTTCCCTTAGGTGTTCTTCCCACTTGGTCACTTTGACCAAGCCACACCATTATCAATAGTTCAAATTAACACTTTGAACTATGAACTTTATCCTTTTAACTTCACAAGGACTTTGTCCTTGTTTTAGCCATAAGATCACCTAGTGATCTAATCTTGGCTCCTTACAGGTTTGCCAATAGGTATTAAATCTTCCAGACCTTTAAGTTGTTCACCATCAACCCTGGGGGCATCCTCCACACTTGGCGGTGCACCCAAGCCAGCCCTTTTAGCTAAGGGTCCATAGCAACTGAGACTGGGTGTCCCCATCTTGTTCACCATGTCCTTGGTGCCACTCACACCAAAGTGTTCAAATTAGATATGCTGAGCCACACTAGGCAATCTAACTGTGCATCATGACTCCAGGGCATCCCCCGCTTGGCGGTGTGCCCAAGCCAGTCTCTTTACTGAGAGTCCATGACCACCGAAAAATGAGTGTCCTCATATTTCAAACCATCACCTCGCCCTAGTGAGTTGGGACTCAAACCCAAGCACTAGAGGGTCGAGACTCGAACCCAACCTCTGTATATGCATCTACAGAAGGCATCAGGCATGACTCCCCATGCTAGTGCACCAACTTATACTCAAAACACGTTAAAGATCACAACTTAGGAACCTAGTT